TTAATTCATATAACAGGTAAAAAGGTTGTATGATAAGAAATACAGATGATGAACTATATTCTGAAATACCTATAAATGGCGTTATAAATGTATTTAGCCATGGTATTCATTTATGTAATTCTGGTTACACTACTCACCTTTCTTGTGGATATATCAAAGGATTCGATGGGATTTTGATAGATAAAGATGGTATTTTAACAGAGAAATTAATCACAATAAATGTTAAAACCAAAAAACCAGGAGGAGGTAACAGTGGAGGGCCCCTATTTAATTATATAGATTTATATGAAGTAGATATAGCTGGTATATACGTTGGATATAGTGGATATAGCAAAACTCATGGCCTTGTTGGTGCTCAACGAATAGAACATATTCTTAGTACTGCTAGAATAGTTTTGGTCAACTCAAATAATTCTAATTTAGGGGAAGGGAGCGGAACGAAAGGAGTGTGAAACTTGTAATCCTTTTAATGAGATATGCCTTTGATTTAGACTATTGTTATTCCCTGTAAAATTCTTGACCAGAAATTTGATCATAATTATTAAAAAAATAATATCGATAAAACAAAGTATACTGATTGATAAAAGTATGCTATATAATCGGTTTGAAGTCATCTAAAATGCAAAAAGCATACAAGAATTCATATATATGAACAACAAAGCTCCAAAAAAATCATTCCAGAAGAAAAAGATTAGCTTCAATAACACCTAAAAAAATGATATTAGAAATTTATAATCACTTAACCGTTTAACTGTGTTAACCGTTTAAATTCAGCAAGCATTATAATAATTCAGGCTCATGACGGTTAAATAGTTTCAAACCTTCTTTCTTTCAATTATGAATTTTTCTTATGACAGATTGCAAAAGGCGGAAGAAAGCACACGTTTACAACAGAGATTGGCCGTTAACTTTATGAATTATTAATTATATTGTTACATGCATATTAAACAAACTTACGAAAATACTCTGCTTAAAATTAACAGTAGATTCTATTATTCATATATCATATTATTTGACAGTCCGATCATAGTAACCTGACGGATAATATAAAATATCTTGATTTATCTTAATTGATATTGATTAAATAAAAATTGTCAAGATCTCAGTCACTTGATTTCTATTAATAACGATAAATCATTATTAAATAATTGTTTGAGTGAACGAAATTAGAGTAACACTTTATACTAACACAACATTTAAACAATTACACACAAACGAAATATAGCAAAGAAAGTGAAAAATATTTATTTATTTCGTAAGCTCGGAATCAAATGATTAAAAAAAACATTTTGTTTCTAGCACAAATAAATTTCAAAAAAAATTTCAATCATTTGATTTACATAAATTCGAAATTTAAAAAAGTTAGATTCAATCATTTGATTTACATAAATTCGAAATTTAAAAAAGTTAGATAAGATATGAAATTATAAATTTCGGAAAAGAAACAATTTAAAAAAAGAGATGCATGCGTAAATAACTAGTGTAAATAAGGAAAAGAGCTTATATAATAAACGAAAAGTGAAATAATACGCTTAAATTTCAGATGATAAATTGCATTCAAGCTCATACTTCACACATCTCTTACAAGGAATTGTTTCTTGATCACATTTTTTCTTGGCCCCTCTACAATTGAGACATGCTTTTTTAGCATGTAAACGTTTTTTGGATTTATCATCCTCGGTATTATTTTCAGCATCATCAGTTTCACTGATATCATTATCATCGGCATCATTGATTTCTCTACGTTTGCTTCTTTTCATAGACGATCTTTCAAAAGATCGTCGATTAAAACTTAACCTACCTGAGTTTAAAATTTATACTGAATAACGTTAAAATGTAACGTA